AAATGTTTAAAAAAAAAAAAAGAAGTGCTGCCTTCGTCAAGAAAAGACCATAATGATATGGATGCAGCAAAACTTGCAGGACTTTCATTTGCAGATGGGATATGACTTAAAATAAGAAACATCAACTAATAACGAGCTTGGGATGTACAAATAATAAATCAAGTTAAATTGGAAGGCATCAAAAATGAAAGGGAAAAAACAAATAAATAAATAAATAGATAAAATTAAAAAAATGAAAGGGAACACATAAAGATTGATACTTTAGGCATAAGAAAGCTGAAATGAACCACTACTGGCCATTCCAAATCAGGAAATCATATGGCTGACTATGCTGGGAATGACAAATTCAAGAGAAGTGGCACTGCATTCATCATCACTAAGGATATTTCAAGATCTCTCTTGAAGTTCAATGCTGTCTATGATAGGATTTTATCTATCAGCATACAAGAAAATCCAGTTAATAAAACTAATATTCCAATTTATGTACCAATTACTAAAGTTAGTGATGAAAAATTGAAGAATTTTACCAATGACTTCAGTCTGAAATTGACAAAATATGCAATCAAAATGAATTGATAGTTAATTATCAGTAATTGGAAGGCAAAAATTGGGGGGGGGGGGAACAGTATTGGAAAATATGGTTTTGGTGATAGAAATGAAGGTGGAGTTCATATGATAGAAACTTGCAAGTCCATTGATTTCATCACAATACTTCTTTCAACAATACAAAAAGTGACTATATACATGGACTTCTTCAGAAGAAACACACATTAATCAAACTGACTCCACCAGTGGGAAGACGTGATGGAACAGCTTAATGTCAGCAACTAAAATGAGGTCAGGAATGACTATGGAACAGACTATAAATTGCTAAAATATTTTCTTCAGGTTGAAGCTGAAGAAAATGAAAACAAGTTCATGAGAGCCAAAATATGACCTTGAGTACAACCCACTTGAATTTCATGAAGATCTCAAGAAAAGATTTGATGCATGAACAGTAACGGCAGAAGACCTGGCAGGCTGTGGGATGGCATCAGGAACATCCTACATGAAGAAAACAGGAAAGAGAGAAAGCCCCCAAACCAAACTCAGTGCCATCAAGTTAACTATGATTCATAGTGACCCTCTAGGGCAGCATCCTTATGGGAGTAGGAAGGCTCACATTTCCCTGACAAAAGTAAAAGGTGATTAAAAAGGGAGGGAAGAACGAAAAGATCAAAGTGTATGTCAGAAGAGACCCTGAAACCTGCTCCTAATCAAAGTCAAAAGATTCCAAGAAAAATTTCAAGCCATGAGTGGCAATACTGAAATATTCCAAAAGCAAACTATTAAATGATGCATGAAGCAACCAAAGAATGTACAGCGTCACTCTACCAAAACAAATTAGTCCACTTTCAACCATTTCAAGAGGCAGCAAATGAGCAAGAACCCATGGTAACAAAGGAAGAGGTTCAAGCTGTACTGACTGAAAGCAAGAGTAAAAAACAAAGCTCCAGGACTTGATGGAGTACTGAGTGAAATGTGTCAACAAGCTGATGAAGACTAGAAACACTCATTTGTATATGCCAGTAAACTAGGTAGAAAGATACCTGCCCGGCGAATTGGGTAAGATCCATATTATTGATATCAGATGCCAATAAAATGTTCCAGAAGATCATCCAACAATGGTTGCAGCACTACATTGATAGGGAGCTTCCAAAGTTCAGGCCAGATTCAGAAGAAGACATGGAACAAGGGATATTGTGTTAGTCTGGGTACTTTAGAGAAACAAACCCACAGAAACTCATATGTATAAGAGAGAGTTTTATATAAAGGGTAAGTGTGCATCAAGAAAACATCCCAACCCACTGCTGCCCAAGCCCACAAGTCCAACATTAGCCCATATGTCCGACACCAATCCACAAAGTCCTCCTCCATCTCACAAAACACATGCAGTAATGCCGACTGCAGGAGAAAAATGGAATCAGTGAATGTGTAAGCATCTCAGCACTGGCAGGGGTCTCCAAACGGCTGCTCCGGCACCCAGGGCTGCATCAGGGTAGGTCCATGTGGCGTCTCTTCAGGGATGACTTGCAGGAAGTGAGCCTTGCCAGCTGAAGCATGGAACTGGCTAAGGCAGCTGGACCCTGGTCCAACCATCACAAAGCAAGAGACCTGAGAACTAGAAAGGCGAGGCTTACGGAGCCATTTATCTCTCCACCCTTCAATTAACCCCACATGTGTTTAATATAGATAGCCTTGATAAGAATAGGAATTCCCAAATATTTCATTGTGCTCATGTTGAACCTGTACATGGATCAAGAGGCAGTTTTGGGAATAGAACAAAGGAATCGTGCCATGGTTTAAACTTAGGTGAAGTGCTGAGTCAGGGTTGTATCTTCTCACTATACTTATTCAACTTGTACGCTGAGGAAATAATCAGAGAAGCTAGAGTATCTGAAGAAAATTGTGGAATGAAGAAGATTATGGCATCAGGATTGGAGGAAGGCTTATTAGCAACCTGTGAGGTGCAGAAGACACAGCCGGGCATGCGGAAAGAGAGAAGGGCTTGAAACACTTGGTGATGAAGCTCAATGACTGCAGCCACCAATCTGAATTACCACACAAAGCAAGCAAAAATCCTCACAACTGCATCAGTGGTAACATGATAAAGAGAGAAAAGGCTGAAGTTGTCAGCGATTTCACTTGCGTGGGTCCACAGTTAAGGCTATCGAGCAAGAGATCAAGTGACAAGGGCATAAATCTGATTTGTCAGTTGATCCCCCCTCTGATGCATGCTAGAGCCAATAGGGTATTCAACATTTTCCGTATTTTTGCTTTGTTGTGTTTTTATTTGTTCACATTAGGGTGTATCTCAGAGGTGTTATATCATTGGAGGTCGCCCTCTTGAAGTTGTGTTCTATGTTTTTCTGTGTTTCAGTAGATGAGACCCAGGATTGATGAATCTATAGGGACAGCAAGTAGAATAAAGTTGGGGGGGTACAGTGGGGAAAGGGGGACGGGAGAGTGAAAGGGAGATGATGTCAAGGAGTCTAGGAAGAAAAAGAATGTTTGTAAACTAACTGTGGTAGCAATTGTATGATTCTGCTTGATGACCGACGATGGAATGATATAGGTATTAACTCCCACTTAATAATAACAAAACAATAAAAGAAGGAACAAGAGAGATCAAATGACAGATTAGATGGGCAAATCTGCTGCCCAAGCCCTTTAAGGCATCGAAGAGAAAAGAAGTCACGTTGAGGACAAAGTGCGCCTGGCCCGAGCCACGGCATTTTCAAAGGCGTCAAAGCAAGCCAAAGTCGGACGCTGAATCAGGAAGACCAAAGAAGAATTGGTGCATTTGAATTATGGTGCTGGTGAAGAATATTGAAAGGACTGAGGACTGCCAAACGAACCAACACTGCGACTTGGAAGAAGAAGTACAGATTAGTCCTCAAAAGCGAAGAGCGTGAGGCTTAGTCTGATGTACCTTGGACATGTTATCCGAGGCCAGTTCCTCATGATAAGGTAGAGTACTTGCTAAAGAAGTCTCACTGTCACTGAATCAAATCTGACGCATAGCAAGCCCCTGTGAGTTTCTGAGACTATAACTGGTTATGACGGTAGAAAGCCCAATCTTTCTCCCGGGAGCTGCTGGTGGTTTCGAACTGCCAACCATGCAGATCACAGCCTAAGGCTAATCGTTATACCACCAGGACTCCAGGTAAAGAGGAAGGGTTGGCCGGAAAGAGGGCAGCACTCAAGATGATGGACTGACACAGTGGCTACAATTGGGCGGTCTTTGGTTCATAGGGTCGCTGAGTTGGAATGGACTCAACAGCCCCTAACAGCAACAAAAGCATGACTTACAGTCCAGAGTTTCCCATACTGTATTTTAAGAAGGGTATGATGTGTATCTTACAAAATAATGTATTCAAATGTAGCTTTGTCTCTTTTTACAAAAATAGAGAGAAAGCATTGTATACTGTAGTATGAAATACCCACTCCTCCAGGAAGGTAAAGAAGACACACGTACCTTGACCTCAAACTCGAAGTGCTCGTCCTTCCCTTGTCCGCAGAGAACGTAGCGTGGAATACTAACTTTAACTGGGTCCTTCGGATCACACGGCTTTGCTCCCAAAGAACGAGAAACCATCCGCTATCAAGTGAACATCAAAAAGGGAGAACAAAGGGAAAAAATAAGATCACTTCATTGACAATGCTTTGCTATGGTAGGAGGGAGAAAATGTGGTTCAAGTAGAGAAGAGAGCACGGACCTGTAGAGTTTATTTAGAAAAATGATGGGTTCCCCTTGAAAGAAAAATGCTAAGCCTCTCTGATAACAAAAGAGCATTCTTTAGGCAGACTATTCCAAGAAGTCAGGTCAAAAGCACTTGAAAATGTTGTTTGGCTTTGAAGTTCCTTTCAATTTATAAGAACAAGTTATAAAAGGGACAGATTATGTATCCTGACTAAAAAAAAAGAGGGAGAGTGTAAACCAGGTTCCTCTTTGAAAAATCTTCACCATCTGATAAACATATTCTTCCTTCACAAAGAGGCTGCTGTGCATGGAACTACATGGGTGGATATTTTATTCAAATTTACTTCATTTTAAAATCCTGGGCATTTTATAAGTCAGTATGTGAAAAGACTTTTGCACCATCATTGAAATAAATCCGAAGTATTTTTCTTTAGGTACATGTGACAAACATTTATGATGCAGAGAGTGGGATACCAGAAGGGTTTGGAGAAAGTGGCACTTTGAAATTACTAAATCTTCAAAAAGAATTTTCTTCAGTATGAATGGGAGGGAAAAAAGCCACCCTGAATAACTCTTATAATGTATACTAAGTTGGTACTTTAGAAAACAAAATACATTTTTGGAGTAAAAGGAGCAATAAAATAACAAAAATAATAATTATTGTTAGCTTGTATTGAATACTCACTATATACTGAAAACTGCTAAACATGTTTATATGCAACATTCCACTTCAACTTCACAATTCCCCTAGGAAGTACTAACCATTATTAACTTCATTTATCAAATGACAAGACTGAGAGTTTCGATAACTTGATTGATGAATGCAGTAGAGCCAGCGTTTGGGCTCTGACTAATCTAGAGCCCATCTTCATCATCATATCATAAAATTTCAAAGTCATTTACTCCAAGATAAATAAACAACTACATATGGGCTATATCACGTTATATCCCATTACTTATGGCTGATTTTAAAGTTCAATGACATTCTTTATTTTGGATTAAGTTAGTTTCTCTACATGTGGTAGAGAAGAATTTTAGATTTTTAAAGGGATATTGGCTACACATCACAGGAAAATGAAAGGTGGTATGTTGGAATGACTTCTCTAAAAACAGCTCCAGTACAGATAAATTCATTAGACATTCAGGCAATTTCAAATGCAATATAGAATAGTTTTATTTAGAAAGGAAAATTCAAGAAAACATATACAATTAGTAACTTTTATCATGTTTCTGTGAAAAATAAGCATCATCTATTAAGGTTAAAATACAAAGAAATCATTTCTTAAAATTTGTGATGAAGTAATAGTCTTGTGTCAAAAGACGTGCCATTTTTCATTGCCAGTAAAATACTGTAGTCAGGTGCATAGTCAAAAGAAACTGGCCAAGCATGGACTGCATTTTAAATATTCACATTAAAATCTTTCGTGCATCCTCAGACTGCCTCTTCCAAAAGGGTTTTGGAAATTAACAGGCCTTGTTATTAACATCCATGTATAGGGCCCTATTTCAGATGTCATAAACATGTCTCCTTAAACACGCCCATTACATAATGGGTGGATGAGTTCCGTAGACACTTGAATATGACCAGGTCAGACCTGAGCATTGCCATTTAATCTCCTAAAGCTCATGTTCAAGCTTTGCTTCTAAAATATGGGCAAACTTGGGTCTTATCAAATTTATCATTACTAATTCATTCTCTCTCCTTCACTCCCTCTTTCCCTCCCTCTTTCTCTCCTTTTTTCCACATCATGGTACATATTTCTATTTCTTTTTCTACCACATATCATACCATGTTTAACTGAAGCTCCTATTTTTGAAGCTCTCACTGTATGCCCAACTGGGCTGAAAGAGGGGATTGGTGCAGGTGAGACTATAAGAATGCTACATTCTCCATCATGAAGCAAATCCTAAAAAGCAGGAATAAAAGGAACTTGTGTGAGCAGATACAAAGTATTAGTAAATAGCTAAGACAGTTTTTATAAATCTCTGGAAGGTAACATTTATCTCTGTATTATACGGACATGGTCTTTATACTGTGTTATCTTTGAAGGCTTAGGAAATACAACTAACCTGCATTTTTTTTTTTATTAACCTGCATTTTTATAGACATGTGGGCACACATGCTTCTATACACCTGGATCATCCATGCCTGTCAAAGTTAGATTTGAACAACCATATGTCATAAGGAATTTATGAAATCAGAATATATGAATTAAGAAACAAACACAGGCTTTCAATTAAAATATTATTTCTTTTATTTTTATATATCCTTGGGAATAAATTATATGTTGTGATGGTTAATGTTATATGCCAGTTTGGTTAGGTTATAATTCTCAATATTATAGTTATCATTAATTTTGCGATTTGATGTAATTATCCTTGATTTTGTATTGTCAATCTTACCCTCCATATGTTAATGAGTCAGGATAACTGTAGAGTGTATCCTGAGTTGTATAGCCTTATAAGATCTGACTACAGTCACATCCTTGCTAAAGTCCCACTGTTGCTCAAAACAAACCTATACTCCAGCCATACTATGATGTAAGAGAAGTTTCCTGGGGGGTGGGGCAGGGGAGAGGTGTATTTGTATCACACACCCTGTCATGTTCCCACTGATCTTGGGCCCATGTGGCTCTGTATCTACTGACAAGTGATCGATCTCACTACTTCCACCTTCTGCTTCATTGGCCTGCAGCTACGTGAATCTGAAGAAGGCCCTGGCTAACATCGGACCCATGATCTTGAGCGAGACAGGGCTGGGAGGCCTTATTGATATAACATTACGTCTTTATATATTATTTCTTACTCCCTTGCGTATCCTAGTTTTGATTCTCTAGTTAACTTATCCTAACACATCAATCTTCCAAATATTAATTCCGAATACTATAGTTGTGAAAATACACGAAAATTTTACCAACATTAAGAATGACAGTAATTAGGAGGTAGCTTTAGCATTGTGGAAAGAATGTATATTTAGGGAAAGGAAGCTGGGACTGAGTTCTAATTCTCAATTAAGTGATTCTTTCTGACTCTGAGTTCCAACCTAGAAAATGAAGATCAATGGTAATAACCCCTCTATTTTAGGATTATTTTGTGAATCTATATGTGAGAAAAACTATGAAAATCATAAATTATGATATTCTTGAAAATGATAGTTGGAATTGTCATTACCATTGTAATTCACTGAATCTTCAACAACAAAAATTTTTATTGCATATTATAAGAATAACATGAGGGTTGATTTAAAATTCTTTCTTTCTTCTCACCTGGTGGACTATTAAGTCCCATAGTTTGTAAAAGGGACTCTTTACAGAAGGATGTTATAGAAGCACACATTAAAAACAGAGGTCACAACAAGACAGCTTATGGAAAGAATAGCCTAACAATGAAAGTAGTCCCCAATGAATAAAGTGCTTCAAAGGGAAACCATGTTTAGCTCATTCATGGAGGTATTCAAACAAAGGTTAAATTAGAACGCAAACTGAAGCTTTCCATTAGGAGAAGTCCTATGTGGTTCTTTTTTTTTAAATTTTTAATTATGAATTATAGATTCTGTGGAGCTTTGGTAACCTTAACATATGTATCTGTGGTATAGAATTATTGGTCTAAATTTTTCTTTCCCCTGAAATAGTAGTCTATATCCAGAGTCTCTTTGGCTTTTGCTTCTTGGTAGATAGATTATATTTCCTTCCCTTTGACAGTGAATTTGGCTGTGTGATTTGTGTTAGCTGTTAGTAGACATGATGTGGGCAGAGGTTTGCATGATTGGGCTGCACATGTTATCACCATGATGGCCATGGACCCTTCAATATAGACCCCAAATGAGACAAGTTGAGCAAAACAACTCTTGCTGGGCTGCAGACAGCCTGCAGCCTAAATATAGTCATTGCAACCCATTTGGAAATCATTAGAGAGAAATAAGAGGTTTCTTCTTCTTCCTCTTCCTTTTTTTTTTTTTATGCGTATGCCTCTGAGATGTTGGGAATTGTTTGTTATTCAGCAATAGCTGACTGATATAATATCCATCACAACTTTTTTTAAAGAAATGTGAGTGCTTTATAATGTTTACTGAAGGGTGTGTACCTAAGTTAACAAAAACAACTAGAATATGGACTCTCCCATAGAATGTTTGACTATAAATGAATTATTACTAAAAGAGGCTGTAATATATTTACCAAACAAAGCTTCAAACCATCTTAGGAAGAACATATAAACAAAAATTACTATAATTCTTAGTTTGATAAGGCTTAAGTCTTTTCCTCTAAGGGTATTAACACACATTTTCTTTTCAAAAATGAGAATTAGAAGAAGAACAGCTTTTAAATACTTTTCAACAAAGACTAAATAAATTCACCCTGCAAATCAGAAGTTTGCAAAACAGGGAGCTGTGAGCAAATAGCATTTTAATCCAATTTAGATTAAATAATTATCCTAGAATGAATGACCACGACCCACAATTTATATTTCTGAATCTATTGCAATCCATAGATTTTATCAGAACAGCAAATGATCCTTCTATGCTAGGGTTAAAATGAATGGCCTAATGGAATCGTTGACTTATTCAACTGTGTATGACATTCAATAAGTAAGTCCTAAATTAAGCATGATCACCACTGGAGTGAAAGGTGTAGAGGAGGCAATAACATGGTATGACTCCTCATTCATAGACTTGGAATTTAATAGGGTACCCCACTCCTACCCCCAAGAAAGAGGAGAATTTAAGCACTGTGACTCAAGATGAAAGGAAAAACATAAAATAAAACATGCATCTGGATTTTTCATAAGATGGTTGAACAGAAATGTATAAGGAGGGAAAGATAATGAGAATAAAGATCTTGAAGAAAATGACCTCAAGCCACTAAGAGAAGAGAGAACCTGGCTTGGAGATGGTCTTCCCA